TTTTTTTAAAAATAAATATGCTTCATTTTTGCTTTTTTTAAACAATTTTATGCTTTTTTTGTTATTTATTATGCTTTAAAATCCGAGCCCTAATGATGATATATTAATTATGAATGAATTAATGGCATTGCAATTAAATTCCCATTGTAATGTAACACCATAACTTTTTTTTGTATTTTATTATCTTCCCAGCATTTTAAGTGGTGATTTAGATCGTATATYTTATAAATATTAAATATTGTTGAATTTACAGGTTTTTCAAATAATGCTAATTTTTTATCAAACGATTTTCCTATGATCATAATTTTATTATTCTGGGTTTGAACAATATTCAAGCACATCACTATTTCCCCACTTGAAGTCAATATATAACTGTCTTGCTTAAGTTTGATATTTATTTTAATTTTGTTATATACTAATTTATAGTACTGTAGTCCTGTAATGTTTATAACTAATGGTCCTTTTGTATGTGGTTTTAATAATTGTTTTTGTTGATCTGAGTCGTTTTGTGAATTGTTATTTATCTGGTTGTATAATTCTTTATATCTGTTAACTAATTGCTCCAATGGTTTTTCATTTTTTCTTATTTTAGATTTGAGTATTTTCATGAAATTTTCGTATGGAAATGCGCTGCAATTGTCAAGTGGTCCATACATTTTATAGTCATCAGCAATGTGTAACATCCCATGAACATTATGAGAAATATTTTTACGCCCATAAATTTGCTCAAATGTTTTTACAAAGTAGTCCAAAAGTTCCTCAGCATAATTCAAATAACAGGCATAGTYTGGACTAAGTAATATCAACATTGCAATGTTTAAACTCATAAAATTTGAAAGTAAATCATTGTTTAAAACATCTTTAAGTACAATAGGTCCGACATACAACAAAAAAAGACGTAATTCTGTGGCCTTCCATCTCCCGACATCTTGAATAGCTCTAGTTTTCCGAACAAAATCTGATGGAATAAATGAAGTTAAAGAAAGTAATGATTCAGTGACTTTCTTTACACTTTGACTAGGAAGACGAGTTGTCACTGGCCCTTTGTTCAACCAAAGTATAATAAGTTTCTTCATTACTCATACAAGGTGCATATAATCTAGGGGTACCATATGAACCAAATCTATACCAGGTAGCTCTATTAATTTTGAAGGATTTCCAATATGATGATCTTCATATTTCATTTCAACATAATCTTCATGTGTTCTTTTAGCTGCTTTAGATATTGAGTACGGAAAGCAAACATTTGAACCACAATATTCACCTTCTTCAATACACCGATAGCATGAATAATAACCAGAATGACCCTTGGTATTTAAAAGAAACGATTTTGCTGGGCTATCTGCAATACATGAATGAATTGTAATTTTTAAAGTACGATCATTTAAAATAATTTCATTAGTCATCAAACATTTCGCTTCCTCAATAAAGTCTAATAAAAATTCATCTGAATTTTTTGGCTTTGTGTATCCATGATATACACCAATTGGAAATACTGTTTTGGAATCGTTGACAATGTAAGCTAAAATAGGCCAAAATTGAGAATTACTACTTTTAGACAAAGGTAAGCCATCTATTCCTATAGAAATAATTATTTCATTTAATTTAGTTGATGCATAATATTTAATACCATTTGCCAGACCAAAATGGTAGTAATGTCCAGGAATGACAATTCTTTTAATTATGTTAGCTGACTTAGGTGGAGCCAACAAAGTCCGACTATCCAGTGGCAAATCTTCAGTTTTAATAACTTCATAACTTTTCATTATTTGAAGCAGTTTATTAACAGTCGTTTGGGGGACGTTGCAATCAATAGCCCAATTACTCAAATCATTTTTGAAGTCTTTGTTTCTTAAATTTACTTTAGGAGTTAATAGTATTTCATTTGAGAGGTTTGGTTCTACAATATGTTCCAAAAGTGGATGAAATGGTGATACATTAGAACTAGTATTATCAATAGAGATATTTGATTCAGAATTATGTTGGATACTAGTTGATGGCATAGTGATGTTGCCAACAATTGTTTCAGAAATATTATTTGAATGAATTGATGAATTAGTGGAATTAATATTAATTGTTGTTTTGTAATTTTTTAAATACAACTTCTGAATAGTGTCCATTTCTTCTTTTAATTTCCTTCTTTTAAATCATTTATTGCTTGAACTTAATGACATAATGTCATAATATAGATATCTATATTTGATAAACATTGTTTTATTATACCAACTGTCAATAGAATAATGATTTTATAATATTTTGTATTAATATATAATTAAATAATTTAATAATATAATAAATAGTTAACTTATTTTAACTTTTATTTTAAGAAACATATAGATACCTATTTCAGAGGGAAAATTTAATGAAATAGACATAATTATTGAAACTAACATATTTAACAAACTAATAAAAATTTAAACTAAAAATGTATATATATTTCACTCTAAACACAGGTTAACAGTAAACTGTAACAAATATTTTTTTAATTTAATTTTGTCTAACAATTGATATATCTACCCAAAGTTTTTCATTATTCAATAATACATTAAATTAATCCAAATTTAAAAAAAAAAATATTGTACTTTTGAACAAAATTATGCTACATTAAATAGCTTCAAACATTCAAAATTGCTATTCGCTTCTTAAAAAGTAAAAAATATAAAAACTGTGATTTTTTTCAAAAGAAATGTTTCATCTTTTTTACAAAAATGCATTTACTTTTTTTAAATTTGTTTTTATTTATTTAATATTATTTTATACAAAATACTAACTTATAATGAGTTACCTACTCAAATCATGTAAAATATAGTTAAATTATATTAATAATAATTATTAATATTAATAGCTTATTAAATTCAACTCATCATAAAAGTAAGACATGTACATATTATCATATAAATACAGAGGTACATTGTATAAGATAAGAGGTTATTCTCATGCGCCAATTTATTTTAGCAAATTTTAAATTCAATTAATAATTGATAAAACATCTATCATAAATATTACTTATATCATGTAGTAGACCAAAGTCATACACTCTTACTATATATATTATATTATTTAAAAAATATAGTTGAATAATTTATAAAATTATACAAACATATTTAGGTACCTATATAGTTATGTACATTTGTGTGTGTGTATTAATAATAATTACCTAATATATAATAAGATAATAATTCAAAATAATTGGAAATTTAAAAAAATACATAAAATGAATGGAAAAAATATTTAAAAATTTCCGGTGAATATGATAAACTATAAAGCATAGTACTTATACATAAATAGTTTCATATTGTTTACAATAGTTGTGTTTAATTTAAATATATACGCTTGCAAATTGCAATTATTATCGAAAGTAAAATTTGGAAAACTAGTTCTACTTTCAGTTTTTTTACTACACCTACTTTATTTTTTGACATAAACTAATATAAGGAGACGTATAAAATAAATCTATTTACGTAGATATACATATTCAAACAATTAGTGTATAAAATAATAATCTAAAATACCTTAACGCGTATCTACATATTGATCAACTCTATAGGCGTCTTTCATTAGCAAAAATTGCATAAAATATTATAAATATAGACTTTATCTATAATTAGTATACATAATATTGTACTGCAGTAAACGTTATACACACTTATATAATATAYGGACGTATAGAATCACATCATCATTTACGTCGCATATGATATATGCTTGCTAATTGGTACCTATACTACCTATATTATATTATTAGCTATCATAAAAAAGTTATATGCAGTTACTTAAATAACGTTTGTAGTTAATTCTAAGTGATGTTTGGACAAGTGTGGACCGTGGAACATTAAAACAATTTTATAATATACAAATCTACGATATTATTTTTTGTCCCACACCAGTCACCGATGACAATATTATTCAACCAAATTATAATTATAAC